TTGTTTTATTTGTTTCCCCCGTCTTCCTTTCATTCTCTCCTCTTCAGTAGAATAGAATTCTTTATTGACCAAGTGTGATTGGACACACGAGGAATTTGTCTTTGGAGCATATGCTCTCAGTGTTCATAAAGAAAAATAAAATGCATTCATCAAGAATCATAAGATACAACACTTAGCGATAGTCATAGGCTACTAATAAGCAATCAAATCATACTAGGAAACAAATTAAACAATATTGATTGTAAAGATACAAGCAACATGGTTATAGTCATAAGTGGTAAGAGATAGGTACTAGGAAGGAAGAGAAGAAGAATAGTAATACAGACTTAGTAAATATTTTTACAGTGTTGTGGGAATTAGCTGTTTAGTAGAGAGATGGCATTTGGGAAAAACAGTTCTTGTGTGTAGTTGTTCTGGTGTGCAGTGCCCTATAGCATCGTTTTGAGGGCAGATATTGAAACAATTTATGTCCAGGATGTGAGGGATCTGTAGATATTTTCACTGCTCTCTTTTTGGCTCGTGCATTGTACAGGTCCTCCATGGAAGGCAGGTTGGCATTTTTTTTCAGCAGTTCTGATTATTCTCTGAAGTCTGGGTCTGTCTTGTTGGGTTGCAGAGCCAAACCAGATAGTTATAGAGGTGCAGATGACCGACTCAATCATTCCTCTATAGAACAGAATCAGCAACTCCTTGGGCAGTTTAAGCTTTCTGAGTTGGCTCAGAAAGAACATTCTTTGTTGTGCTTTTTTGATGATGTTTTTGATGTTAGGTGACCATTTTAGGTCTTGAGACATGATAGAACCTAGAAACCTGAAGGTCTCTACTATTGATACTGTGTTGTCTAGTGTTGTAAGAGGTGATAGTATAGGAAGCTTTCTTCTAAAAAATTCTCCAGGTTGAGAAACACTGATGTGGAGGCTGGGTTGAAATAGAAAACATGAGTTAGGGGCATTTGTGGAGATCTGTGGCATCAGCAGTTGTAGATCAAAACTGTCCCCCTTTATAATGGGTGTTATGCATATGCAAAAAGGGGGTGGAGCTTGGATTTTCCAGTCCCACCCACCGTTTTGGTGCTATTGAGCACCCACTCTCCCCTGTGGTCACCCCAATATGAACAAAACATCCAGCAAAAATCAAAGTGCTTCTCTCGAGGTCTCTGCAGTTGCTTCTGATCTTGGCACTCTAAGTCTATATATAATTTGCTGGTTGATGGATTTGATCAATTCTAGTATTAAGTGGCAGTTGTATTTGATAAAGCTAAATATCCTATGTCTATCAAGACAAAGTTTTAAGCTGTTTTTCTGTTTTCTCTAGTTTTCTATGCCTCCCAGAGTCTACCAAAGTGAGCTGCCCAATAAATTTAAGTAAAAACATAAATAACATCACCCATGCTTTAGGTTACAAAGTGAAACCTTTTCCTCATTAGAATAGTGCAGAGGCAATTTTCAAAATAAATCAGACAAAAATGTTCGCCAACATTTTATTGTCATGAAACCTAATTAAAACAAAATGGGTTTAAATCTCACATGTAAAAATGCCAATAACACCCAGTACATTCCTAATGAAAGTATATTTTATTTGTTGCTGGTCATTGATAGTCAGTCAATCAATTACATTATTGATTTATTTATTTAACTTATACTCCAGTTGTCAATCAACTACAAGTGACCAGTTCAGTGACCTGGTTTCCCAGGAAATTCCTGGATTGTTAAATCCCAGTTTACTACAACAGAACCATCATCAGATCTGGTGTTAACAGTAGCAAGACACAGATGAAACAAGAAAACATGATTTAAAACAATCAGGATTAACATGCTGATAATGAAGGGAACAGTCTGTGATTCAATCCTAATACTCAATTTGCAAATTACAATTTAGTATACTGGAAACATGTATCCAAGATGGATTATTGTGAATTTGGCAATATTTAAATATTTTGCTCAGTTTCTCTCTCTCTATCTCTCTCTCTCTCCCTCCCTCCCTCTCTATCCCTCTCTCTCCCCCCCTCTCTCCCTCTCTCCCTCCCCCATATCTATCTATCTATCTATCTATCTATCTATCTATCTATCTATCTATCTATCTATCTATCTATCTATCTATCTATCTATCTAATTTATATGGCCACCCATTTTGCAAAATAAATGATTCTGGGTGGCTATATAACACAAACACAGATACACACACACACACACACACAAACACACACACAGATCAAAATATATGTGGCTTAGTGAGCATATGAATTAATTCGTTGTGTTTAATTTCATTTCTTCCTTTGTTCGTGGAATATTTGCTCCTTGTTTTCTGCTAGTGGGATCAACAACTTCTTTTTTTTTAATCTTACAGGATTCTTGAAAAGCCGTGATCGTTCACATCAAAAGTTTTATACTATGATGACTAAGACCCAGATGTTCATTCGCTTCATTGAAGAATGTTCTTTTGTTAGCGATAAAGATGCAAGCCTTGCGTTTTTTGATGACTGTGTAAATAAAGTAAGTGTGCTCTGGTGTCACACCCCATCTGACTGTACTTGTTGCTCCAAAGACTTTTGCCAACTCACTACGCTATAGAGGGACTCCCACTTTGGCTACAATTGCCCAAGTGTCTAACAAGAAAAGCATATTGTGATTTACACCCCCTTTTCTTCTATTTGTTAATTGGCTTGAAAGGTATGACTGTTTTCTTATTTTCACTGAGCTAGCAGGGAGGAGATGTCCCTACTAGCTTTTGGGGGGAACTTGACCCTTTCCTTTTATTCTCCCCCACTTCAGTAAATTACCTGGCTGGTCTAGGAGAGGCCATTCCTCATCTTACCCAATCTGGGCATGTCTGCTAGGAATATAGCAATAGCACTTAGACGTATATACCGCTTCATAGTTCTTTTACAGCCCTCTCTAAATGGTTTACAGAGTCAGCATACTGTCCCCCAACAATTTGGGTCTTCCTTTTACCCACCTCGGAAGGATGGAAGGCTGAGTCAACCTTGAGCCTGGTGAGATTTGAACTGCCAAATTGCAGGCAGCCGGCAGGCAGCAGAAGTAGCCTGCAGGACTGCACTCTTAACCTCTGCGCCATCACGTCTATATAGGGAGATATTACCCTAACATCTGGAGGAGACCAGCCAGAGAAAGGTTGCCTTGAAGCAAGATGCAAGGAAATACAAAACTCTCTTGAACTCAGAGCAGTCTAGAAGATTGGGTTGAGTAACAGAAAGATTATTAGTTCTCACCTCCTAGTTGCAAGCAGTAAAAAAAACAAACCACATAGAATATCAGAATTGGAAGAGACATTGAAGGTCTTCTAGTCTAGCCCTGTGCTAAAGCAGGAAACCCTGTTCATTTCAGACAGGTGGCTGTCCAGTCTCTTCTTAAAAGCCTCCAGTGATGGGGTACCCACAATTTCTGGAGACAAGTCATTCCACTGGTTCAATGTTCTTAACTGTCAGGAAATTCCTCCTTAGTTCTAAGTTGGATTTCTCTTTGATTAGCTTCTATCCGTTGTTTTTATCTTGCCTTTGGATGCTTTGTAACATAGGTTGACTCCCTGTTCTTTGTCACAGCCTTGCAAATATTGGAACACTGCTATCATATCATACCTTTTCACTAAACTAGCTATACCCAATTCTCAACAGGGTCTGGGAACATGACTATAATTTACGATGTTTTTGCTTCCGGTTTTCGAAAAGAACACCTCATAGCAATCAATGGGTTTGCTTAATAACCATGGTGTTCACTTAACAACCGTGGATTCACTTAATGACCATGGTGATTTGCTTAACCACAGCAACCAAAAATGCCAGAACTGTCATAATCCAGCATGATTACAGGGACATCATACTTTACCATGATGTCACTTAGTAACAGAGTTGCTTGTCCCTGTTAAAGTTATTAATCACGGACTAACCGAAGACTTACAGTTGCATAAGGAGTCCATTTTATCCCTTACAGCCCTGGCTTCAATCACTTTCGGAGCTCTGATACCCTGCTCAAACCCTGTTTGCTTTTCCAGTAGCAATAGCAATAGCCCTTGGACTCATATACCGTTTCACAGTGCTTTACAGCCCTTTCTAAGCGGTTCACAGAGTCAGCCTATTTCCCCCAATAATCTGGGAATTTAACCGACCTTGGAAGGATGGAAGCTGAGTCAACCTTAAGCTGGTCAGGATCAGACTGCTGGCAGTTGGCAGAATTAGCCTGCAATACTGCATTCTAACCATTGCACTACCATGGCAATAGAACAGAACAGAACAGCAGACAAGAATAGCCCTTAGACTTATATAGTGATTCACAGTGCTTTACAGCCCTCTCTCAGCGGTTTACAGAATCAGCCTCTTGTCCCCAACAAGCTAGGTCCCCATTTTACCAACCTTGGAAGGATGGAAGGCTGAGTCAACCTTGAGCCTGGTGAGATTCGAACTGTCGAACCACTGGCAGTCGACAATCAGAATTAGCCTGCAATACTGCATTCTAACCACTGGGCCACCACCGCACTTAGGAGAGGGGATTTGCACATCCCTTCCCTCGTACTTGTCAAAATATTTGTTTGTCTTGATCTATCCAAGGTATGTTTGTGTGCATATTGCATCTGAAGTTTGGGTGCATATTTAGATCTAAAGTCTGTCACCTTAATGGCTTTCCTTGTGAAATGACTTTTTTCAGAGACTCTTTTGATCACACTTTCTTTGGCGCAGCTTTTCTGACAAGATGTTAAACTTAGTGAGACGTTACACGTTAATCTTCATCTGCAATTTGATTCTTTTCTTTCTTGCTCTCATGAGCGATGAGGACAATCCTTGTCTAGCGACAATTGGGATCAGCAACTCAATTGTTAAGTGAAGCAGTCACTAAGTGAAACCACCACTGCTGCTTACTTCAGCTTTTCTGTGCCGTACAGGACTTGTGAAGGTTGTAGATTCGAGGTTTGGTCACAAAGTTGCTTTTTCATCACTGTTGAAGCAACTGAAACTGGTCACTAAATGGGGTAGTCACTAAAAAGGGTTAAACAAGGATAATGTGTAGGCTCTAATACCAATAGGCTTACAAGGAAGGATTATGTCTGTGGAAACTTATAGCACACCATGTTTTCAAAATAATAATTTCAAAGTATTACTTATTTTATTTAGCCTCCGGCTTCTTTAAAGTATAAATTGAAAGTATAAAGTTTAAAGTATAAATTGAAAGGATAAAGTATATTCTTAAAGTACAACATCAGCAAAACATTATATGTCATTCTGAGAGAGAGAAATTTCATATGGATTGTGTGTGTGGAATAGAATAGAATAGAATAGAATAGAATAGAATAGAATAGAATTCCTTATTGGCCAAGTGTGGTTGGACACACAAGGAATTTGTCTTTGGTGCAGATGCTCTCAGTGGATATAAAGAAAAATAAAATAGAATACATTCATCAAGAATCAAAGGATGCAACACTTAGTGATAGTCACGGGTTACTAATAAGCAATCAAAGCAAACAAATAAAACAATATAAAATTTAAAGATACAAGCAACATGGTTATAAGCGGGAAGAGATAAGTACTAGGAAGGAAGAGAAGAAGAATAGCAATATAATCTTAGTAAATAGTTGGGCACTGTTGTGGGAATTAATTGTTAAGTAGAGTGATGGCATTCAGGAAAAAACTCTCCTTGTGTCTAGTTGTTCTGGTGTGCAGTGCTCTATAGTGTTGTTTTGAGGGTAGAAATTGAAACAATTTATATCCAGGATGTGAGGAGTCTGTAGATATTTTCACAGCGCTCTTTATTATCACAACCGCTCTCCATTTGGTAGACATAAGAACCTTTTGTTTTTCATCTTTTCCCTCCAGGAAAAAAGTGACAAGAGTAGATCTGCCTAGAGTCCCTCAAGTGTAACCTAAGAAAACAGAAAGTGACTGGGGATTAATTGTTGTGTGTTGCATATAAAGTGAGCTTGCCGTAGGAAAGATGCTTTGGAAATCATCCTTCAAAGATTGCATTAGCAAATAAGTCACACAGCATACCTCTCCTGCCAGGATCCCAACCTATTAGAGGTGTTCTCTTCAGCTTATGAAAGGTGGAAATTCTCCTTCACCTGTCACTAACCTTCTATATCGATAGAAGAAGTGATCAATCAGAATAGAGCTGGAAGGTACCTTTGAGGTCTTCTAGTCCAACCCCATGCTCAAGCAGAAGATCCTATACCATTTCAGACAAGTGGCTGTCCAGTCTCTTCTTAGAAGACTCCAGTGATGGGGCAACCACCACGTCTGAAGGCAAAGCTGTTCCACTGGTTGATTGTCCTCACTGTTAGGAAGTTTTCTCCTTATTTCCAAGTTGCTTTTCTCCTTGATTAGTTTCCATCCATTGTTTCTTGTCTGGCTTGCTTTGGAAAATAACATGACTCCCTCCTTTCTGTGGCAGCCCCTCAAATATTGGAATACTGCTATCATGTTCTATTTTAAAAAAATGCACAAATGTGTCTTGGACACAACTCCACTCAAGATTTTTGTTTCATGTGTATTCTGGAAACATTGAGTGGGTGGAAGGAATGGATTTCACTCTTGAATGTAATGTTTGAAGAGAGCCAATTAGTGAAACGATGCATTGGATAGTTTAAAAAACATTAAAGTTCACATCTAGTCCCATCTTTCTGCTATCCAATATTTTCTTATATTTCATTTTCTTGGTTATTAAATGCAGAACAGCAAGGACCTAATCCTGGGGGGATTGATTTCAGTAATGGACATGGGCTTTGCTTGTTACGACTGTCCAGTCTCTTCTTAAAATCTTCCAATGTTGGAGTACCCACAACATCTGGAGGCAAGTCGTTCCACTGGTTGATTGCTCTTACTGTCAGGAAATGAAATATAAGAAA